ACTCTTATTGATTTGACTCATTTACTTATTGCTGCTGAATCAAAAATAATTTTGCGCACTGATCGAGCAAATTTTGTCTGATAAATCAATATCCTAACCTTCTGTGGGAAATGGCCACATTGGAAGTCTAGAAATTTTTTCTCTACGCAAGAGAAAAGCTAAGTCTGAGATAATCCCATTCCAGAAGAATCCATATGTTTCTACTGCCAAAAGGAAGGGGCATTGGTTACGAAGCTGCCCTCGCTACCTAAAAGATCTAAGAGATGGGAGAGTCAAGATGTATGAATCTGCTTTAGGTAAAATTCATTAACTAATTCTTTTAAGTTACTATTCTAGATTCCTAATACATGATGTGATAAGATTACATTTTGATGTTTGTAGGATCAAAGAAAAGAGAGGAATCTTAACGGAAGAAGTGAGATGAATCTAATCGTGAAGAAATGGACTTCGATCGCATTCCTTGAAGATTAGATTCCTAAGCTACTACTTGGAGTTAGAATAGATTGCTAAGAAATATGTAATAACATAGTTTTTCAATTGAATTGCATTGTAGGGACAAATTTTTCCGCAATAAAATACATTTTGATTTTATCTTATTTATTTATCCTTGCAATGGCGTGTATGAAAAATTGATGTTTGAAGGTTTCTATTATTAGAAATAATGGATTTGATTCTTAATTTGTGGAGATGTCAAAAATTTACCAAATACGGAGAGTTTCTCATCGCCCAAGTTTCAATTGGAAAGAAACTTGGAATCATACAACTTGGTTGCGTGATGAATGAAAACTTTCATATTTGGAAATTAGACTAATTCTTTGACAAAGTGTCAGGTGAAGGACTAGGAGATCGAGTACACTAGGTTGTGCGTTGATCAAATCCACCACAAAGAGAGATAAGATATTCGTCATGATTTACTAAAAGGTTAGTAAATATGATTATACTTATAAGATAGTGTAATTATGAGTTGATTGAAAGAGTTTCAATGAATAGCAGAACGAATAAGAAGAATCAATTAGGTAGAAAGATAAAAAGTTTCTCCAATCTAAGAAGAAGGGAGAGTGCTTCTGTATCAAGTTTTATGATCGTCTTGGTAAATTGTAAAGAACCATATTACAATTCATCCTCTAAGGACACCTTAGTGCACTAAGTATGGCTAAGAAGAAGAGTCGGGAATTGTCAAAATGGGTTAAGTCAATAAGATGAATCGTACTTCGTTCCAAGATCAAGTCTTAGAGTTAAACTCCAAGATTGTGACTTGAGTGATAAAATGTTAAGTAGGAATGTTCGTATTTTTCCACATTTTGGTGAGTTGTGATGTCTAGAATAAGACAAAGACCAACTAGTACCAAATTGTGTGTAGGTTTTGTCTTGATAAAGACACACTAACTATTGAATAATTATTTTGTCAAGGAATATTTCTTGACAAGAGAATCTTATATGTCAAGAGGTTAGTGGGAGTCTAAATGATCTTGAATAGGTTCAAGAACTAATCAAGAGTAAACCTATTATTAAACACCAGCACACGACTTGAGGTTTCTAACCTATCGTGTTGATAGATTTTTGTGTCATTCTAGTTTGGTCAACTATGCATGTGAGTTATATGAGTTCTCAATGGATTGCATATGGGCAAGGCACCTTGTTCAATGGAAGGTACATTGAAATGAAGGGGTGGGTTGCTTAATAACTTGGAAGCAATGGTGGGACTCTTGATAGCAAAAAATTAAGAATGAACATGTTCTGTCCATAAGAGTTTGGATTTGTCACTAACATTATCTTGTGATTATTGTTATAACAAATTCACATGGATAAGGGCACATACACAATAAAATCTAAGTGTTATAAGGTTTCTCTCCTTCATGAAAATGATTGTGAGGAAACACTTTCACTAAGAGAGATTTTGAAAGATAGCATTATGTAATTCGGGTTTCTCAAATTCAACTATGATTATGGCATCCCTCTTCATAGTTTGAATTGTGGGAAATTGCAAATGGGTCTGAACATTTTAGACTTATTGCTATAAGTTCTAGAATCGTTTAGACACACGCATGAGTTATCTAAGAACAGGTGTATGAGGTTGAGAAGCTTAGATAAAGTCTTATCGAAGCGTCTTAGTATTAGAAATATGAACTTGAGTCATCATGTCTTCGTATCTATGGAGTAATTTGTAATTTCATTGGCAACAATATCCAATAGAGTAATTTGTAATTTCATTGGCAATAGTCTTTGTGACTTTAGTGCAGTGACATTACGAAAGGATCATTGCATAAAACGTTAGAATATAACATATTCTATAAGTGGCAAGAATTTGATATTCTTACACTCGTGATAAGGATTAGGAGTTGTGAAATGAGTATGATTGGAAATGTGTTCATTTGATCTATTTCACAAAATAAGGACCATAAGTAAACATTGTGTGCATGCTAAGAGCATGGGACAATTATAGTAATAATTCAAGTAATAAGTTAACCAAAACAACTAATAATGAGTAATCGATATGGTGATAAATAAAAGGTGTTTTATTTGTACTTAAAGGTTTGGGACCATATAGGATTAGTATTATTCTTGTGTTTCACTTTGCATGTTTTGACTTATTGAATAATCAATTATTTCAGAATAATCGGATTATTCGAATGGTCCACAGTCGTTCATATGTTGGAAGTAGGTATGAATGAAGACTGTCATGAACTGGTTTGTAGATTGTCTAAAGTGTATTAGACGTAGCAAAGGTTTGCTGCAACATTCATGAGTGCTTATGAATATGATTCTGAGCATTGGATTAAACTCACGCTCACTTGGATCGCTTCATGAATTTTATCACGAGCAATTGGTGAGACGATTATATCTTGTATTCTTGAAACTGAGATGTGTGAGTTGTATCTTGCGAATCAGTTACACATTGATAATATGTAAACGCAATAGTAACTTGGTGTTATAAAATATATTGTTGTGTGTGATTTGGTGAGTGAGTGTAAGCGAGCATTGAGTCAAAGTTTATCTGTTCCTTTTACCCAAAGTAGGATAAAAGCAATATTTGTGGGCCCCTAGATGATTTAGTGATGATAAACGTAAATGCTCGGCCGGGCTAGGGCTAATTTGATTTGTTCAATTAGTCAATCGTCGTAAATCGGAAATCGGGAAACAACATATAAACCGAGAGAATGATTTCAATCCATGTCTCACGTCTATACGATATCTAGAATGGAGGAATATATGATCCCTTATCTAAAGGACAGATTGCTGATAAGATCAGAGTTCGACATCGTCTTTGAGAGCTACGATTGCTAATCGAGTTGTACTTACTATTATAGTTACTAGACTTATCCAAGTGGGAGACTGTTGGATTAGTGTCTAAGCCCGTAACCATATTTTGGTAGGTACTTGACCCGATTGTGCATGGTGCTTTTGGGTTGCCTTCACCAAAGCAACTTGACTGGAGAAATAATAGAGAAAGAGGTTATTATGGTTTATTAATATATTATATGAATAATATATTAAAGGAGAAATCATATTTGTTTAGTTAATATTGGTCAAGAATTAATTAAGAATTAATTTTGTGATTAAAAGTAATTAATTAAACTAGATGGGCTGAATTGTAGTTATGTGATAGTTGCAAATTAGGGCAATGGATGCCCTAAGAAAGGGGTGGACGAATTCATGGGGATAAGACCCTAGAATTCGTTCAAGATTAAGGGTTCTAGACTTATCTTATGGATTGCTTGGTGAGCAAGCAACTAGATAAGGATAAGGACTGAAATCCTAATCTCTACCCTATATAAAGACCCCTTGGCTAATGAAATTCGTTCAGGCCTTGTCTAGGGTTCCTAGGGCCGAATTTCATATCTCCTCTCTCTCTCTCTCTCTCTCTCTTGCCTCTCCATTTGCTCTTGGTGAAGAGCCGCGTATTTTAGTTGACCACCGAGGAGGCTAGGGCAATGCCAGATGGTGTGGCTGGTATGTGTTTATTCTTCTCTGCCATATCATTATTTGCATTGCTTATGTGTATAGTGTACTTGTGTATAACATTATGGTTTTGTTTTCATTGCAGATTTTGAGTGTGATTAATAGGGTTTTATTATTATTATTTTGGTTCAATATCTTTTGATTTGGTGTGGTGACCAGAGATAAGGTTGAATCGGTGTTATCGGATGTCAAATGTAGTGGTTGAACGGGGGTTATCGGTGGTCTGTGGTGGTTGCCGGTGACCGGTGGTAGCAAGAAGTAGGAGTATGAGTCGGTCCCATTTCTATAAATTATTTAATTGATTTCTTTAATTGATACACAATAAACAAATAATAATAAAAATTGAAAAAAAAAAAAGGAAAAATAGTGTTTTTGCTTTTACTATAAAAAATGAAAAGAAAACAAACTATAAGGACTCGTGCAAAAAGAAAAAAAAAAGATAAGGACCAAATATAAAAATTTTCCAAAGCACAAGGACAATTGGACTAATTTGTTCTAAACTGAATAAAAACAATGGGACAACTATGTGTAAACATAAATTTTTTGAAACGGAAAAATCAAATTAGAAAATGAAGCTAGCAAGAAATTAGAAAAAAAATATATATATATAGATTACAAAGTCATATATGCTAAAGGACTGTGAACCACCAAATCCAACTTAAATTACACTTATTGTGCATATTCTATATAAAATCACATAAACCGTTAACTATTAAGAATATAATTAACAAAGATGTGAACATCATCAAAGTTTGATTCTTAATGCCCCCTCCATTTAGTAGATTCACACAACCAGACTACACCTAAATTTCTAAATTTCTAAGTTTCACTCTTCACACAAATTCTGTAACACATAATTCGTTCCCTAAAAGCAATCAAATCAAATCCACCATTGACATCAATGGTTAAATACCATTTTAAACCTAAATCTCACCATATAAACTAATTATCATGGTTTTTTTCTCAATCTGAATGGACAAATTACATTAAAACTTGTGTTCTACCCTCTTAACATCATCAACTTACCCATATAAGTTCATTTAAAAGGAGCCAATCGATGAATCTCCATTATATAATCTCAAAAACTCAAATAAAATATGTAGATGGATAGAAGTATACATTAGATGATCATCAAATAAAAACCCATATTTTGATGGGTTCTTCATCCGTTTGCTAAGTGCAGTTGAATGATCATAGTTTGCAAACATGAATCCTTCAAATTGTTTTGTCATCTCTTTCATTTTCTTAGAAACTGCTCGATTGTGTAGACTTGCTATGGTGTTAAATTCTTCGTAGCATGTATTGCATGGCTGTTGTGCACGAGCTATAGGCAAACAACCTAATGGCGGGATCATCGCGATTCCAATCTTCCTCCCACCTTTTTCATGGATTTCCTTTTCAAGTTAAGGAAAAAAAAGAATTGTTTAAATATTGAGGTAATTAATTAGAAATGTAATTCCTGTTTACCTTGAACACATCGGTCAAGTTTCCTATCACCATTTCAACGTATGCTGATGATGATGACTACTCTGGTTGGTGCGCAGGAGGCTTGTATAGTCGTTGATTCCGCAGCTAAACAAGTAGACAGGGTTGGACAAAAGCTGTTTGGCTTTCACATCACCTAAATTCTTCCTAAAACGTTTCTCTAAATCCAAGAAATACTGTAGCTGTGTTTTGAGATCAACTACCTAAATGCATCAAATTGATTTATATATGAAATCGACATATGAGATAATTCAAGTGGTGGATACGAAAGAAGGGACACATACAAGCCCTCCATTGGTCTCGACTAATGCACCAGATCCCCCTGACGCAAAATTTGCTCCATACCCAAATTCTTTATTATGGTAATGGGGGTCAAGATACGCAGGAATGAGAGGCAATCCAGCAAACTCAGCTGTTAACACAGAAGGAAAATCAAGAATGATAAGCAAGAAATTGAAAGAAAGAAAAGAAAGATTGGCGGTTGTTTGAGATGTCTAATGTCACCGATGAAATCAGGGATGAGACGGCCATTAGAGAATCTTCCACTTGGCGCTGGCGGATTGAAGTATGATTCGCCATAGGGCCAAAATTTCGCTTGAAAGTTCGGATTAGTGTTTATGTAGTTGTTGTTTCCAGAATCAAAAAGTGAATCACCGAAAATGAAGAGCGCAACATGTTTGTTGAAATGCCTCTGAGCACTCTGGCAATCTGTAATGAGGAGCAACAGACACGAAACAACAAGCCGGAATCCCAAATTGCTTTTAGCAACAGCCATATGTCTGAAGCTGTTCTTCATCCTTGACCTTGAGTTGCTAAATTTAGTAAAGTGCAAATTTGGTCTACTTCATTGTCTGCCGTTGCTTTTGATTTAAAAACGAACATTTAAAAAAAAAAGATTAAGTTTTATAAAAGTAATGAATTACCCTTGTTCATACATATATTTTTAAATATGTTGAGTCATTATAAAAAGGCTATTTACTATTAGTTTATACAACACAGTTTATTTAACAACTGAAGTATATGAATTTAACGATTTATGTATAACAAACATATTAATCTATTAAAAACTTAGTAAGATCTTTAAATGGAGAAAATATGTGGGCATATTTGGCATAAAGTTTTTTAAAGCTTTTGCGAATTTTTACATTATAACCTTTAGAAAACACTTAAAAAAGAAAAAACTCATCATTAAGGAAAAAAAAAACTCCATTTGACAATAAAAACTTTTATCTATTATTTTCAATAAAAAACTTTAGTACAAAAGAATTTATATAGCTTTTAAATTTTATTTAATTTTACACATGAAAAATCTAAAAGTTATTTTTGTTTTCGGAATACTTTTGTACAATTAAAAAAACTATAGCTTTAATTACCAGTTAGTTTTATTAACCACAATCAAAGTTTGAAAGCATTTTAAATAATTATTATAGTAAAACATCTTAATGTAAGTTAAAACAAAAACATAGTTTTTTTTAATATATTTTTTTGAAGTTCTAAAGTGAAAAATGGATCTATAGACATTATAAACATGTTTTAAGATTTGGATTACAAACATAAATAGAATTGAAAATGATAGAGCATATATGGCAAGAAAATTTGAATGAAAACCCATCCGGTCCCAAGGTCTTCTCGTTGTCACAGCGAAGACGGTTGCCTTAATCTCTTCAATGGGAGATTCCAATACTTGACAATCAGTCGGAAGAATCTTCTTGAAATGACTGCTGACAAGTTTCGGTCTTGAAGGCTATTTTTCTTTGAATTTGTTGGCAAAGGAGTGAAATGCCTCATGTTTGATCATTGCGAGATTAGTACACCATAACAAGTTTCGGTCTTGATGACCATTTTTCTTTGAATTTGTTGGCAAAGAAGTGAAACGCCTCATGTTTAATCATTGCAGGATCAGTACACCATAGTCTGTTGATCATGATGCCATTAATCATGTTTTCCAATTATTGTTGTTTACGTAACCATGTTCCCCTTTTCTCTTTTCATAGCAATGGAGGGCCTAAGCGTAGCAATGAGGATAACAAGCGAAAAATGCATCTTTAAAGGCATAAAACTACCACATGGGGGGCAATTGATCTTTCACGTACTCTACACCAATGATGCATTATTCATTGGTAAGTGGTCGGAACAAAATATTAAAAATCTCTCCAGGATCCTTCACTGCGTTCATGTCTCCTTTGATCTAAATGTAAATTTTCACAAGTCTAGAGTCTATGGAGTGGATGCAAACTAACTGGAGGTTTCACGATGGGCCAGATCTCTTGGATGTGAACCTTCTTCTCTTCCGTTCACATACCTAGGCTACTAGTCGGGACAAACATGAATTTAATAAAAAAAATTGGAAATCGGTGATAGATAAGTTTCAAACAACATTATCCAAATGGAAGTCTAAAACTCTTTTGTTCGGGAGTAGACTAAATTTGGTCCATTCAGTCCTAGGCAACCTACCAACATATTATCTCTCACTTTTTGTGGCACCGGAAGGAGTTCTGGAAACACTTGAAAGAATTTGCAGGCAATTTTTATGGGGGAGCACGGAAGGAAAAAAGAAGATACATTGGATATTGTGGGACAAAATAATCGCATCTAAAAAATGGTGGACTTGGAGTTGGTTCCATCAAATCGCTAAACATCTCACTCATCATGACATGGTGGTGGAGATTACGTTCTAATCCATCGAGACTTTGGGCAAAGGCCATTCATGCTATACATAACTTACAATCAAAACTGGATCACTACTACCCTTGTAAGTCATTACCAGGAATATGGAAAAATATAGTTGGAATCGGTAAAGATCTTCGAAAAAAACATCACTGTGGACATCGTGCTATCCAAACAATTGATCCTAACAGGTGTCTCCTAGAAATGTAGTCTCACCAGTGATAGGTCTTATTTGGTTAATGCTCTGAGGAATTTATTGGATTCCTGCCCTACGTTCTACACCAACAAACTTGTTTGGTTAAAAGGCATTCCCATTAAAGTTATATGTTATTAGACAGTTAATATTAGTATAGCGTTTAGAGTGTAGCATACACGTCAATTTTGAATGAATCTCAATACAATTACAATTACAAGTTTGATTTGGTATCAAAGTAGGGGAAACATATGGCTCCTCTAGGGTTACAACCCTACCCTTTCCGATTCTTCATCAATTGACACAACTCGATCATCAACAACATCAAATCAATCCTCATCAAGAAATCGATCTCAATGGGCACCATCACCGTCTTCTCCACAGCTGAGAAAACATCACACAGTTCTCATAAGTTTCATTTTCCTCTCTCTTATACTAATTATGGTTTTTGGAAAATAATGATCGAAACTTTTCTTGTTACCAATAATCTTTTCGGCTATATTAATGGAACGATTCTGTGTCCCAACCCTACTATACCACCAACAGAGAAAGCCACCATAGCAGAACCTCAGCTGAACCCTTCATATACAGTCTGGATAGCTAATGATGTCCATGTTTGCATGCTCCTTCTATCTACCATCTCTAAAGCATCTTACCCCCATGCCTAAGGCACAACCTCAAAGACCTTTGGCTCTCACTATAGAGAGCCTATGCTCCTCAATCTTCTTATAGAGAATACACCCTTAAAACCCAACTTCTCAAGCTTGAGATGAAATTTGATGAAATCTCCCTATTTACCTCTTGCACGCTCAAGAATATTCAGATCATCTAGCAAACATTGGTGAACCAGTCAAGGTAAAAGGCCTTGTTAGATTAGTTATCTTTGGGCTTCATGAGGAATACAATGGTCTAAAATCCACACTCCTAGATTGCCAAGCTCCCACCTCCTTTCAAGAACTTCATGGTTTTCTTGGTGACCATGACTTTATGGTTATGAAAAACCCACCCACTGTTGCACCTGCTCAAGCTTTTGCTACCACTGCTGTCGGTTGCTCTACCCCTATCACCACCACATCACCTAATGATCCCATACAAGCTCTAAAACAACTTGCTTCTTAGTTGGGTCTTTAACTTAACCTGACTCCCCCATTATCCCCTTAGGCCTTTTATACTAACCAACCTCCTTCTTCTCGGGGCCGTGGGTCCAACAACCGTCGTGGCCAAGGAAACTACAACCAACAAACAAGCGATAATCGAAGCCAATTTTGTTGGTCATCCACTCAAAACACCATTTATGGCACCTATAACAGATGCAAATATTGGCCATATTCCTTCCTAGTTCCCTAATCGTGATCCTAACACCATCTGCCCATGCCTATAGCCTTCTGCTAATTTTGCAGAAAATCGTTCACAGACAACCACCTGGCTCACCGACACAGGATCAAACAACCATGTATCTCATGATTTATCCTATATTTACCTAATTTGTGGTTCGCTCTGGTACGGGAATGAGGATTGGGAATGCAATTCACCATATTAACCGTATCCGGTACGGAGGGGGTAGGTTCATTTTGGAACGATCTGGTACGGTGTAACATTTAGTCTGGTATGGTGTACCAAATTCCAAAACCAAAACATGAACTTTGAGTTAATTCGGTGAAATAAAAATATAACAGAAACTGAAGAAGAATAAGAAGAATGAAGAAGGAGAAGAGTAGAAGTGTAGAGATGATGAAATTCGGTATGTACTTGTAGGTATATATACATGTTAGTGCTAGTTAGACTTTGTTGAAATTAGGAATTGAAACAGTGGTAAAGACTACACAAACAATTATCTAGAAGATGATTTCAAATTGAGTATTGTATACACAATTATAGCACTCGGAATAAGAAATTGAACATTAGTGTGTAAGATGGTTCAGTAAATTACAAGAATTCAGTCGACAATTTCCTGCCATTCCAAAAATCGGTGTACCAATATCCGAAATCGACATACTAATTTCAGAAATTGAACCCAAAATCGTGTTTTGAAACTATTGAATTACTGAATCAAACTTGTTCCAGATTCCGATTGGGAACTATCTCGACACCGTACCGGTTTGCGATCCAGGTCACGTACGGTATGCTTTCGTACCCGATTGGGTACGAAACGATTTGGTACGCAGTTCGTGGTCTTCTGAGCGAATTAGGTAACTATGATTTATCCTTTCTTGACAGTCACACACCTTACTTTGGTGAGGATGCTCTTCACGTTGCCAACGGTACAAGATTACCTATTCTTCATATTGGCTCTACTCGTTTTTATTCACTTAAGAAAACTTTTTCTCTATCGAATATTCTTCATGTTCCTGAAATAAAAAAGAATCTTCTTTCTATTCAAAATTTTTGCCTAGACAATGATGTTTTCTTTGAATTTCACTCGTCTTTTTTGTTGTGAAGGACAATACTACCAAAACTACCCTCCTCACGAGTCCAAGTAACAATGGTCTCTACTCCATTCGTCTTCTATCCCTTTAGCGTCTTCCTAAAGTTGTTTTCACTACTCGTAGAGCATCCTATGACATTTGGCATCAACGGCTGGGACATCCTCACCCACAACTTTTAAATTTTATGTTTTCTAAGTATTGTCTTCTTGTTTCTAGTAAAGGTTCAGCTTCTTTTTGTAATTCCTGTCACGTTAGGAAATCATCTAAAATTCATTTGTCACCTTCAACATTTAATAGTAAGCATTTTTTTAGATCTTGTTGTGTGGGATGTTTGGGGATTGACACCTGTGACCTCGTCTGATGGCCAAAATTATTTTTTGTTATGTGTTGATGATTTCTCTTGCTTTATGTGGATTTTCCCTCTTAAACACAAATCTAATGTTTATGATGTGTTTAAACAATTTATTACCGTTGTTGAAAGCCAGTTCTCTACCAAACTTAAATCTATTCAAACTGATTGGGGGAGGGGGTGAGCTTCATAAACTAACTGAATTCTTTACCTCACTTGGCATCATTCATCATCTCTATTTCCCT